GAGAGTGGGTGGTGGTGAGGATCTTTTCAACCAATATGGAGCACACAGTTGTGAGAAACAAAAATGTATTAAAAGATCAGTGCCAATATACTGCTTTGCACAATTATTTTCATCAGTATATGCCCATTTACAGAGTTTACTATGTAACAGTCACAAGGTTAAACATTCCTTATATGGAAAAATAAATTAGTACTCTCAGAAGAAATGTTTTAATTAGTATATTCTTCATGGGCATAGTACTGAATTGTACAAGTTTATTCTTCCTGAAAACCGTTTGATTGTGGACTATCAGAACTCTTATTTCATCTCTATCAAATTTTATCTGAGTTTGTATATTTAAACCTAAGTTCTCTCTAGTGTGATAACAAATGTAATCCAAGAGTATGAACAGATGACTATTTAATACACATTAATTAAAACGTAATAAGTACAGTTGACCTTCAACAACATGGTTTTAAGCTGTGTGGGTTCATTTATATGTGGTTTTTAAAAACAAATGCATTAGAAAACACAGTACAATATTTACAAGTATTTCCTCTTTCTTATGACTTTCTTTTTTTCATAGGACGTGTGTGCTCACCAGAAAGACAGAGAGAGACAGAGAGACAGAAAGCAAGAAATCCCCCGGGGGGGGGGCGCAGGGGCATGCCGCAATCCCTTCTCCTCCATTCTTATCTCGGGATCCTGGGCACGCATGCACACGTGCCCGGTGTGAGTTTAAGTCCTAGACTTGAACCGCAATCAACTACAGGGGAATCCAACAACATAGCCATTAGGCTAACTGCTGATCCCCTCTCTTATGACTTTCTTAATAATATTTTCTTTTTTCTTCTTTATTGTAAGAATACAGTGTATAATAAGTACAACATACAAAATATATGGCAATACACTGTTACCAGTAAAATTTCTGGTCAACAGTAGGCTATTAATAGTTAGGTTTTAAGGGAGTCAAAAGTTATATGTGTATTTCTGACTTCATGGGAGCTTGGCACCTCTAACTTCTGCAATATTTAAGAGTCAATTGTATGTATTATATTTCTTTTACACTATATTTATTGATTCCTCAGAAAATGATTCAATTATTCATTTAATCAATTTTATTTGAATTTGAATACTATTGTTCATTATAAACACATAGTATATTTTTAAACCAATGAAAAAATGTTAAGGTTTGCCAAGTTTAAAAAACAGAATAGTCTTAAGGTTGATGTTCATTTGTAAATAACATTTAATGGTCAAATTTATAGTTTCTAGTTACATAAAAAGTAGAAATGTTAATAGGTAGTCATGTTTTAAATATTTTATATTTAAAATTACGAAGAAGCATTTCTTTCTAAATGTAGAATTAAAATTACATTTTTGGAAGAAATGAACTTATATTTCTTTTAATTAAAAATATGACCATTTCTATCAATGTTTAATAGAACACAACTTACTAAATTTGAAAATAGCACAAAGTTATGTGGGAAGTAGTAAGAGACAGGGGAGTCCATTTTAAGTGACTTCCACTGGTCAAATTTGAAAGAATTTGAGCATCAAAATGAATACCAGGATACCAGTTACAGAATAAAAGAAAACATACAAAAATATATAGCATTTTAATAAATTAACAGTGAATAGAAAGTGAGACAAAATTGAACAAAACAGTCCCATTTACAATAGCTACAAAGCAAATTAGATATGTAGGAATATATCTAGCCAGAGATGAAAGACTTCTACAAAGACAACTATAAAAGACTGAAAAAAGAAATTGAGTATGACACACACACACAAATGGAAGGACATCTTGTACTCTTGGATTGTAAGAATTGATATAATCAAAATGTCAGTCTTACTCAAATTAATTTATATGTACAATGTGATTCCAGTCCAATTACTTTAGACATTCTTTACCAAAATAGAAAAAAAATATGAAAGTTATCTGGAATCAAAAAAGATTGCCAAGGCAATACTGTAACAAAAAATAAAATAGGCAGCATCGCACTATCTGACTTTAAAGTATATTATGAAGCACTGATATCAAAACATCATGTTACTGGCACAAAAATAGATACATAGACCAATGAAACAGAACAGAGAATGCAGAAATAAACTCCAAGTCATACAATCAACTGATCTTTGATAAGGGATATAAGACAATGCAGTGGATAAAAGAAAGTCTTTAGCAAATGGGTTGGAAGAACTGGATATTCATCTGCAGAAAAATGAAACTGGACTTCTATCTCTCACCATTAACTAGAATGACCTCAAAATGGATCAAAAATTTAAATTTAAAGCCTCTAACTATAAACTACTAGTAGAAAATGTAGGAGAAACTTTGGAGGAGAAAAAGATTTCTTAAATAAGACCACTAAATACAGGCAATGGTCCCTAAAATAGACAAGTGGGATTACAACAAGCTTAAAACTTCCTCACAGCAAAAGAAACAATAATTGAAGTGAAAAGACAACCCTCAGAATGGCAGAAAATATTTGCAAATTATCCCTCAGACAAGGGATTAATATTTAGACTATATAGGGAACTCAAGCAGCTCACCCATAAAATAATGAATAATCCAATTAAAAAATGGACAAGTGAATTGGATAGAAAACTCTCCAAAGAAGACATATGAATGGCCATGAGGCCTAAACAAACAAACAAGTCTTTTGTCATAAGGGAAATGCAAATTAAAACTACAATGAGATACCATTTAACCATTTAAGCCCTCTTAGAATGGCTAGAATCAAAAATATAAAGAATGAAAAGTGTTGGCGAAGGGCTGTGGTGAAAAGAGAACTCTCTTATATTATTGGTGGAACATAAACAATCCAGTCTTCATGAATGATGATATGGAGGTAAAAACCTACAAATAGAATTTCCGTATGACCTACAAATAGAATTTCCATATGATTCAATAATCCCACTTCATGGTATTTACTCCCAAAATAGGAAAATGCTCCATCAGAAAGACATTGGGACATCCATGTTTATTGCGGCATTATTTACAATTGCTAAATCATGGACCCAACCAAAGTGTCCCCAAACTGATGACTAGGTTGAAAAACTGTGGCACATATGTGCTATGGAATATTACACAGCTATTAGAAACAATGAGATCCCATCATTTGACTCAAAATGGATGAGTGTAGAAGATTTAATGTTGAGTGAAGTGAGTTATACTTTGAAAGATAAGCATTGTATATCTCTATTCAATTTGTACTGAGTTCTAAGGCAGAGGTTGAGAAACTAGAAATGTGATGATAGGGAGAATGGGTGTAAATGCCCAGAGTCTGTGTGTGGGGGGGAGAGTGGATAGTAGAGAGTGGGTGGTGGAGAGTGGGTGTGAAATACTGAGAGAGAAAATATTTGATAAAAAAATGTAGGTAAAAAAACTATAAAGAAAAAGTATAGAACATGTTCATTATAAAATTTACTAAATTCTGTTGTGCAGCAGGTTATTTTCAAAACAAAGAAAACAGGGATATCCAGAAAATGATAATTATTAGTAATCAAAATTTTGTTGTGTGATTTTAGAAAACTCATAAATAACATGTATCTTGTTAAAAAAATAAAGTACCAGTAATATATTATATATTATATATCATGTGGAATAAAAACAGGATCCATGAATCCACATTAATATTCCTACTTCTGGGGTTGGCGGGTGGCATGGTGCTTAGGGATGCTGGATTCCCACATGACCAACTGTGGTTTGAGTCCTGAACCTAGTGGCTTACTTTCTCACCTCTCGCTCTCTCTCCCTCCTCTCCCCACTCCCACAAATTAAAATAAATAAATAAGTAAATAAAGTTAAATAAAATAATTCTTTATTAAAAAAAGTTTGACTAGTTCTGCTATAACCAGCATTTCTGCTACAAAAACCAAAATGGAAGAATAGGGAATAAGGAAAGACTCTAACTTACAAAAGAATAGCAATTAATAAATATAAAGAAATGTTAGAAATAGAAAAATAGTAATTTTACAACCAGCATTGTAATAACTGATTTATGCAAATTTACTCAAATATGCCTAAGTCAGTTTGTGAAAATTTGTTTGTTAATAGGATATTTACTCAGTCTCAGAATCTCCAACAGATTTTTTTGTTGTTGTTAAATATGACACGATTTTTCCTTTACGCCACTTAGTCAAGTGATCAAACACATCACCAATGAAGGAACAAACTGACATCCTACGTCACGGGATTCAATGCTCTGAAAACAAAAGTACAACAACAACAAAAACCAAATCTTCACCATGCAATAATCCTATCAAATAATTATAACTTGATTTTATTCATGAGAAAATAATCAGACAAATTGAAATTAAATGGCATTTGTAAAAAGTCAAAATGTCAATGTCATGAAAGACAAAAACACAAGGGATGTAACTGAAATGTGAGTCATTATATTAATTCTTTTAACTTTCCTGTGGAATAAAATTTTTCAGGAGAAACTGTTGGGAAATACATGTCTTGCTAAACAGTCTCATTTTTTGGTGTCCCAAAGCATTGCTCATTTAAGTATTTTTTGTTTGTTTGTTTTGGAGAGGTTTTTGCTATAGGGCACGTGCACTCGCCAGACAGACATTGAGAGAAAGAGAGACAGAAAGCAAGAAATCACCCCCTAGAGGGGATGGCCATGCAGCAATCCCTTCTCCATTCTTCTCTCGGGATCTTGAGCATGCACGCACACGCGCCCAGTGTGAGTTTAAGCCACCGGGTCTGGAACTCGAACCACAGTTGACTATATGGGAGTCCAGCGAGATAGTCAATATGTTAACTGCTGGTCCCTCATTTAAGTATTTTTTGATATTTAAATTTGTGTAAACATTAATTTTAATGAAGAAATTGATTAAAAATAGAAATACTTTAATCTGAGGTATTTACGTCTCTGTTTTGTACAGATTTCAGAGTGCTTTTTAAATTTATGTTCATTTTTATTATTTCATATGCTTGTGTAATTTTTTTGTTTATTCTCCTTAATATTTATTTCTCTTCTTTTTCCCATCTCTTTTATGTCCAGATTGTTATCGTGGCAATGGCAAAAATTATATGGGCAATTTATCTAAAACAAGATCTGGACTAACTTGTTCAATGTGGGACAAGAACATGGAAGACTTACACCGGTGTGTGAATTTACTTCTTTCAATATATACAATGTACTGATAATAGCAGTTATGTATATTTGTATATATACATTACTACTTTTTCCTACTTTTTATGTATCATATTAAACTAATAAAAACATTACATTGATTATTCTGAAAAACTTAGCATAACATTGTTTATGTAACAAACTTTTAAGTATGGAATTCAAGGGCCAGCAGGTGGCATGGAGGCTAAAGCATTGGATCCATGCCAATCACAGGTTCGAGTTCTGGACTCCATGACTTGAAAAAGAAATCACACCAAGTGTATGTGCTTTTGTGTCCAAAATCCTGAGTGGAGACTAGAGAAAAAGGGATTACAGTGTGGCCATTCCCTTTGTGGGGTGATTCCTTACTTTCTCTATCTCTTGCAAGTATAAGTGCCCTATAGCAAAAAGTAAATGACAGCAACTTTACTAAAATTTTATAGGAGCAGGTTACTTTGTGTAACTTTCATACATAAAATTTTGTAGTAAGTGTAATAATATATTATCGTTTTTCAAAAACATATTTTTAAGAGAATTAGAGATTTTTATTGGACATATTCACAAAGAAGGTAGCATCCAGTTGACCCTACTAATAGCACTAGTGATTTTATAATTATAAAATAAGTATGATACATATTAATAGTTGTGAACTGAAAATAGTTTTACTCTAGAATGTACATGCTAGAATAAAAGGGAAAAAAAAAAAACCCTAGTATTATTTGACAAAGTAAAGTACCTAAAACATGGTTGCTTTACATGAGTTATTATATCATTCAACCACCACAATCCTATATGAAAGATGATGCTGTATGTGGATAAAATGTAAAGGCTCAGAGAGGTTGAGTTCCTATACTTCACTGTTACTTTAACTTCAAAGTTCTTATTTTCTTCTGAAATGTACCCAGTAGTAGATGATATTGTTTCAGTTCACTTATTTCACAAATATTCATCACTCTAAGGGATTTGTCTTTAATAAAAATACAATGCAGTCACAAGTGTCAGCCACCTAACTACTTTTCTCCTCCAGAAACCATTTTTTTTTTTTTTTGGAGAGATTTTCACTGTAGGGCGCGTGCGCTCGCCAGACAGACAGAGAGAGACATAGAGACAGAAAGCGAGAAATCACCCCCCAGGGGGGATGATCATGCCGCAATCCCTTCTCCTCCATTCTCCTCTCGGGATCTTGGGCACGCACGCACACGCGCCCGGCGTGAGTTTTAAGCCACCGGGTCCGGGACACGAACCGCGGTCGACTACGTGGGAGTCCAGCGACATAGTCATTACGCTAACTGCTGGTTCCCCCCCAGAAACCATTTTTAAAGAGATGAAAATAAACAGGCAAAATAAATTTTAATGCATTTTGTTTAATCCAGTATATCTAAAACTTGAAAAGTGTTACTACACAGAAAATAAAAAGTTAGTCCCTTTTCTATTTTCTAAGATACTACATGTTCTGATGCATATTTTTCTTAATGGTTCTTTTTGGTTTGGACTAGCCACATATTAAATTCTTAGCAGTCACTTGTGGCTACTGGCTACCAGGTGAGGGATCATACGAAGTACATGGAAATGCATACTTTGAAAAAATTATATATGTCTAAAATGTTTTCTACAAAAACAATGGTACTTTAGTTCTATTTTTCTACAGATTTTTTAAAAGGCTCCTTCTGTTAAGCACTTCTGGTCTAGGACTTCAGCGATCAGCAGAGTTTTGCCCTCACTGATCTCTGCTCTATTGAGGGAGACAAACAAAAAAGAAAATGCCACTGCTATATTATAAAACCATGAGAAGATAATCTCATGCTGCGGGAATGCAAAGAAGGGTCAACCTAGATTTAGATGATCAGAAAGTGTTCCTTTAGAAAGGCACATTATCTGGGACCTACATGATGAGTAGGAATTGGTCAAAGGAAATGTAGAAGGAAAAGTGCTTTAGGCAGAAGGAATAGTATATCAAAGAAAGAGAAGTGTCTGAAAATTGAAAATAATTTTGGTTAAGCTGTAATTTAGTCATGTCCACAGAGAAGAAATCTCCAGTGATTATACCTCAGACAAAGCCCTATGAACTGAGTTAAGTTTGTAATTTATCCTGAGGATTAATGAGTCATTAAAGAATTTTAAATTACAATGAGTCTAATTAAAATTACATGCCTATTTCAACACTGGTATTTTATTTTACTTATTTTTCTTTATTTTACTTATTTTATTTTTTTAGGTTTTTGCCATAGGGTACATGTGCTCTTTGCAGAGTGACAGAGAAAGAGAGACAGTGAGAGGAAGAGTGAGAAATCGTCACTCAGGGGAATGGCCATGACATAATCCCTTCTCCTCTTGGGAATTTGGGCACATACATGTGTCTGGAGTGAGGTTCAAGCCACGAGGTCCGAGATTGGAACCACATTCATGTGTATAGGAGTGCAAAGACAACTACCATGCCATTTGCTAGCCCCCATCACTGGTATTTTAAAAAGCACTTTAGAAATAGCAGTAGACAGGGTGGATCCACCTGTTATGGACATGGGAGAGAATTGTTCCAGTCTCTTCCCTTTGCTGTCCCAGTGATTTTACATTGGAAGCTTGAGATTTTCATGTTGTATTTAAACCACAGAAATAAGCAAGGGCTGTACATAAGGACTCCCCTTCCCCAAGCTACACATACCTCAGAGGGCCAACTGCTCGATATTTAGCAGCATGCCACTGGAAATACGGGATACATTTATCTAGGGCCTCTCAATAGAATACCATTTTTAAAAATTATTTATTTAATTTTATTTATTATAATTATTTGAATTTTTGCTATAGGTCATGGGCACTCACCAGAGAGAGAAAGAGAAAATGACAAAGCAAATTGCTAGGTCCAGGACTCTAACCTCCATTGGCCATGTGGGAATGCAGCACAACCACCACACCACCTGCTGGCCCCATAGTAATAATTCTTAATTCATGACTTTAGTTTTAACTTTAGGAAATAGTCAAAACATACCTATTTAATGACCACAATAAGCTGCATAGCCTCAGATAGGTGCTACTTTATGGTATGTTCATTCTACTCACTGAATTTTATTCTAAAGTCAGACATGTGTTCACAGATATGTTTATATCAACTGCACTTACTATTTAAAGTATTTAGTTTAATTAAGGTCTTCTGTGAATCAATAAATGTGTGTGGGGGGGCAAGAGGGAAACATGGAAAGCAACTGTAGATACAGAGACAGTATGGAAAGAGGGTGGGAAATGGCAGAGTATGAGAACGAGGGAATCACAGGGGAAAAAAAGTAAAATACATGAGAAACAATAAATGAAAATTATTTGTTGAAGATAACATGTACGGTAATATCTTTGATTGAGCTAATACATAGTGTTTTCTGGATAGTTATTTTGTATGCTGCAATGACATACAGTGAATGAATGTAAAACATAAATTAATAATAGAAAAAAGTCATTTGGAAAGGTTTTGTTGGAAATTGATAAGTAATTAAGTGGCATGGTATCATTTTGGTTTAAGAACAAACTATGCAAAGAGGAGGTAAATTATGGTGATTTTGAGCCTTGACTCTGGAAACAGCATGGATTCAGATAACTCTACTATTTACAAGTTGGTGACCTTAGAATAAATTAACTGTCCTCTCAGAATTTTAGTTTCTTCAGGTGTAATACTGTACAATCTTAGAGTCAGTCTCATAACCTTGGCCTATAATTATATGTGTAAAGATTTTATAGCAGAATCAGGCTATTGTTATTGATCCAAGAAATGAATGCAGGTCTAGGAAGTCCAAGTTTTTACGTGCAAGCTCTTTCTAATTTTATTTAAAATGACATAGCAATTATATTCAAACATAGTAACTAATAACACAAAACAATTTTAATTGCATGTAGTTTTCATGACTTGATTATGGTGGCCATATGCCATTGGACTCCATTAATGCTATTGAGGCAAATGTAAATATTAATGTTACATCAATGGGCATGTTCTTGTAAAGCCTATAATTATATGTGTAAAGATTTTATAGCAGAATCAGGCTATTGTTATTGATCCAAGAAATGAATGCAGGTCTAGGAAGTCCAAGTTTTTACGTGCAAGCTCTTTCTAATTTTATTTAAAATGACATAGCAATTATATTCAAACATAGTAACTAATAACACAAAACAATTTTAATTGCATGTAGTTTTCATGACTTGATTATAGTGGCCATATGCAATTGGACTCCATTAATGCTATTGAGGCAAATGTAAATATTAATGTTACATCAATGGGCATGTTCTTGTAAAATAACATGCAGTATTTTTGTTTTTTTTTAAATAAATTTAGTTAAGACATAAATGAGAAAAATTGAAGTGCTACTCCTGTTTTTTTCAGAAAGTCATATTTTATAACTTTTTATATATACCCATGATGTTTTAAATTTAATTATTTCATTAACATATTATTAATTTTCAAAATAACTTACTGTACTTGGTTGTTATAATATTGCTAGTATTGATTCATATGATCTGAAATGTGAAAAAAATAATTTCATGATAGCTTCTAAGTATTTTCTCATTTTGATCTTTGCCATCTGCTCACTCTTTGATTCTATGCACAGAGGTGTTGTTCCCTCACTACTATTAATATAATAACTCAATAGAAGCAAAACCACAACATTCTTCATCATTTTATCTATGCTAATTATGGAGCCCTCTTCCATATTCAAAGCCCTGTTCCATTCCATGTTAGAAAATGTGATTCTAAACTTTCAGAACAACAGTAATAAAACAGTTCTCAAACAAAATAACTGAAGTGCACCAAGTAAAGCTTGGAATCTATCTCAAATGAAAGCAATGTGTTAGGGTTTTATCTTCTTTTAATATTTTGTTTCTCTTGGACAAAATGAGCATCTTGTGATGTCCGGAGCTTGTTGTTTATGCAGTCATATCTTCTGGGAACCAGATGCTAGTAAGCTGAATAAGAACCACTGCCGGAATCCTGATGATGATGCCCACGGACCCTGGTGTTACACAGGGAATCCTCTCATTCCTTGGGATTACTGCCCTATTTCACGTTGTAAGTATATTTATCATATTTTTCATATGTTTAAGCTGTATATGTACTGCGTCTCCTCTAAAATAATACCTTACTGAGAGATTTAAATAACATAGGAAGTCTGGTATTGACCTCAAATGAGGATGCTCTCCAGAGAGCAACAGACACATACACAACACATGCATTGACACACCACATGCAACTCTGTCCCCCTCTTTTTTTTTTTTCTCTCTCTCTTTTAGGAAAGAAAGAATTCTGTTGGCATTGTAAAGATTTTTCTTCCTTCCGAATATTCCCTTTTGGAATCCAGAAGTAATAAATGGCCATCATTCTAATTCAACTGAGCTAGAAAGCTCTCCCAACTCTCTAGCACCAATGCCTTTTCAGTCTCTGAGCATAACAGCTCTCAGCAAAATCTTCAACCCACTAAAAGACTCATGAAGAGACTAGAAATGGTGATTCTCCCATCTCCTTCTCTCTAGGATTTTAACCTAAAACAAAAAAAGCCTGGAACTTTCCACCCAACTCCTCTGAATCTAAGATGACTTTGTTCAAAGGGTATTCATGCATAAAGTGAAAGTTACATATAAAATATATAATACATGTTTGATATACTTCATTAAAGATACATGCCTTATACACCTTATATAAAAGAGCCCCTGAATATCAACAATAAAAAGATGTGCAAACTCAGAAGAGAATGAAGGAAAAAAAAAAAAAAAGAATCTTCAAAGATACCACCCAGCATGGTGGTCCAGGGAGCAATGGTGCTGGAGGCCATTTGAGAGGGCTCTGGGATCATGTTCTGGGTCTACCTTAGCATACTATGTATTGTATGTCAGTGGGTGCACCCAGGTACCTGATTATCTGCAGGGCTAGGAAAGAATTGCAGTTTGAAGGCTCTATCAAAGTTAACTTTCTTTCTCTCTCTCAGGAAATTGACTAATTTTAAAAAAGTATAGTTAATAAACAAATTAAAAGATACTAAAAATTAGCAATAAAAAAAAAAATTAAGGCACCTGCAGGTAGCAAAGTGTTTAAGATGCCGGACTAATACATGGTCAACCGTGGTTCAAGTCTCAGACCTGGCAGCTTGAAAATTACAACAGGTGTGTGTGGATGTATACCCAAAATTCCAGGAGGAAAAGGGCATAGAATGGATTGTGATATAGGCATCCCCCCCAGGAGATTATTTCTTACTGTCTCTCACTGTCTCTCTTTGATGAACTCACACACCCCTAGAGCAGAAACTTTAAGAAAATGACATTTTAAAAGTGGTGTGGTGATTGGGGTGCTCACCTCCTATGTGGCCCACTGCAGTTCAAATCCTGGACCTGGACACTTGTTTTCTCACTTTCCTTCTCTCTCTGTCTGTGTCTCTGGTGAGTGCACGTGCCCTATAGCAAATTTAATAGTAATAATAAGTAAAATTAATAAATAACTTTTTAAAAATCCTGTCTAGAAGTCAGTTTAGCAAAATGTTATCATGAATAATAAAAATGTTGATGTCAATCAGGGTCTTTTCCAGCCTCGGCACTACTGCCACTTGGGACTAGATTACCCTTGGTTGAAGGAGGCTGTCTAGTGTGTTACAGGACGTTTAGTAGTGTCCCTGGTCTCTATCCTCCACATGCCAATAGCACCATTCATTTCCCCAGTCACGACAATCAAAAACAGTTATATTTTCCATAATTTATATAAAACAAATGAAGAAATGTCTTGCCTCAAGTGGAAATACTAGTCATGTTTCAGTCAGGTATAGCAAAAAAGACACACTGCTTAAATGTTATACTGATCAAGTATACCTAGAATTAAGATCTGAAACTGTTTGGCCTTCATTTAATGATTCTTTTAATTTGCTAGAGGGCATGCACACTTACTGCAGAGAGACAGAGAGAGGGGAAAGTAAGAAAACATCCCCTTCCCCAGTGAGGATGGCCATGCCTCAATCCCTCATTCTCTATTTCTCTCTTTGGGATTTTGGGCACACACACATACACCTGCCATGGTTTTTAAGCCACCAGTTTGGGACTGGAACTTTGTAGTAGGCCATATAGGATCTAGCCACTTTGACCACACTCAACCTATTTTTAAAAGGTTGGAAAATTATTTGTAATAGTAATCAAACCTTTGTTGAGAGGTTTTTGCCTTAAGGCACATGCGCTAGATGGAGAGACAGAGACAGACAGACACAGTGAGAGATAAACTGTGAAATTATCCCACAGTGGGAATGGCCAAACCACAATCACTTCTCCTCCATTCTCCTCTCAGGACCTTGGGCATAAATGCACACACATCAAGCGTGATATTGAATCCGGGGCTCAAACCACAGTCAGCCATGAGGGAGTCCAGTGTCATAACTGGCACACCATCTGCTGGTCCCTGTGATCAAACATTATATGTTTCAAAGAAATTATCTTTCCTGTTGTATTTTTATTTTATCAGTTATGATTAGAGCCTTTCAAATTAATTAGTACTTTCCTTATATTCTGCTATTTTTCCCATATTAGAGTTTGCATAGCGCCTGAAAATGTCATTCCAAGGAAGATATTTTCTAAATTTTATCCGGGGCTCAAAAGCAAAACAAAAACAAACGAACAAAAACAAACCAAGCCTACCTCTCCAGAGAATGTATGCAAAAATATTTTTCAAGTTATTTCAGAAACATAGTTTTAAATATTGTATTTTACTTCACTGTACCTTTCTGTGAAGTTTCTTTAAGATTACCAGTCTAATAGAATCTACAATAACCTAAAAGAAAGAAAAACAGTGATTTCTATTTTAAAGCAGATTGTATATAATATGTTGGTTTACCTAAAGAATTCCAGGATTGTTAAAAAAAATCACAATTCAAGGGACCAGCAGATGGTGTAATGGCATGTCACTGAACTCTAATGTAGTCAATCACAGTTCGAGTCCCAGACCCAGTGGCTTAAACTCATGCTAGGCACATGTACATGTGTGCCCAAGATCCTGAGAGGAGAGTGGAGGAGAAGGGATTTTGGTGTGGCCTCCCCCCCCCGGGGGGGGGTGATTTCTCACTTTCTGTCTCTCTGTTTCTCTCTGTTTTACTGGTGAGTGCAAATCCTCTATAGCAAAACCTCTCAAAAAAAAAAATTACAAGTCAATTAGTACATATGCATAAATAAGTATAAAATGCTCCCATGGAATCTTAGAGCACTGTGAGTTAGTTTGTAAGGGAGACCAGACTCTCATAACTCAAAAGTTTCAAAATATTTTTCAACTAATATTTATAAACTCAAAGCTAATTATATGCTGTTGAAAGACTTCAGGGTGTTGGCAATATTTGATTAAATGCTATTGCAGATAGCTCATTTTTATTTAAGTATATACTCAACATTAATTTCAAAATATGTTTACATTGTCATTTTCCCAACTAATATTTATAGCCAGGATTTAAGACATAAAATTTATCTTTTAAAAAATGTATCTTTAGAAGATTTAAATTATTTTTATTTAACTGTAGAAACTTTATAAATCATTTTTATACTGTGCATTTCTTTTATAATACATGCAAAGTTTATTCATTTTCTTCTAAAATGCTTTCAAAATAATATTCAACATATTTTATCAAATACTGAAACAAAAATGTACAAATCTGTACATCCTTGTGTATGCATACACAAGTTTTAACTCTCAAATTATTGTGACTAGAACTACCACTTAAACTTCCTGAGTAAGTGTGTCAGCCTCATCACCCTATTTGTGGCTTGGGCAAATTATTTAACCTGTTTGCAATGCCTTTTTTTTAATCTGTAAAATTGTACACTAAAAATTTCTATCTTGTAGCCAGCAGGTGGCATAGTGGTTAAGGTTCTGGACTCCCACATGGTCAGCCACGGTTCCAGTCTCGGGCTAGTGGCTTAAAAACACATTGGACACCTTTGCCTGTGTTCCCAATATCCCAAGAGGAGAATGAAGAAGAAGGGATTGTGGCATGGCCATCCTTCCTGGGGGATGACTTTCTTGCTTTCTATCTCTCTTTCTGGCAAGCACATGGGCCCTTTAGGAAGAAATCTCTCAAAAAAAAAAAAAAAAAAAAAAGTACCTATCTTACTGGACGATTGAGAACAGTGTCTGTTGCATAGTAAGCACTCAAAAACTTAACATCATCTCTGTTTTTATTTATTCTTATATTACTTTTCAATTAGCTCTTTTGTGTTCAAAGCCCTATATAACATGCTAAATACATACATATTTAAAGACTTTTTTACCTTTTTTTTTTTTTTTACTTTTTCCTTTTTTTTTTTTTTTTACTTTTTTTTTAGAGAGAGATTTTGCTATAGGGTGTATCATGTGCTTGCTGGAGAGACAGAGAGAGAGAAATCACACCCCCCCCCCAGGGGGGAATGGCCATGCCACAATCCCTTCTCCTCATTTTCCTATCAGGAATTTGGGCACACATGCCCAATGTGAATTTAAAGTCACTGGATCTGGGACTCAAATCATAGCCGGCCACATGGTTGTCCAGTGATGTAAACATTACGCCATCTGCTGTTCCCTATTCTTATTCTTATTATTTTGCTCTAGGGTACATATGTTTGCCAGAGACAGAGGAGGGGTGGGGGATGCCTTCCCGCCATCCCTTCTCCTCCATTTTCCCCTAGGGATTTTGGGCACACATGCCTGGCCTGTTTGTCAACCTGGGTTCAGGAATCATACTATATAATTAGACATGTGGGATCCAATCAACTTAACCACCATGCCATCTGTTGGCCCTAAATAGTGTTTCTTAACCTCAGGTATTTTATAAGGTAGAGAAGAGAAATTTGCATAAATAATCACAAAGCAACATGATCATGTAATATATATCCATTAATGTTAATATATAAAATGAGAATGGGAACATAGATGTCTTCTTGGAGAGATAAGTGATCTTGAGAAGTATTTGAACTTGAGTTGAAACTTTAAAAATAGAGTTAAAAAAAGGTTTGTATGTGATTTAATTTGTTACAGGGGCCACACAAATGCACATACACACACACACACCCATACTGTTCCATAGGTAAAACTTTTGTCATTGATGTTTTTTCTTTCTCCAAATTTAGGTTGAACCAATGCAAAGTAAGATTGGTATCACATTTATTTTTAAGATAAGAGCAAAGTGGTGGAAACACTGAAGAGAACAAAAGTCAGGATAGCATTCCAAATGAATTGAAAAAGGCCTAGAGAACAGATTCTCAACATTTTGCTCAAAATATTCCTAAGAACCTAAAGAGTTTAGAGCTTTCTAAAAATTTATATCTTAGCCACTCACCTAGAATCTCCAGAAATCTGGTTTTAATAGTATTTTATTTTAAAGTATGGGAAATATTAGATTAGAACAAAACAAATATATTACTATTAATTATTAAAACTTCTAATTTTCAAATGTCTATGTTTTAGTACTTTAATATTTTAATAAGATACAAAATAAATTAAGTACTTTGTTGACCTACTAAAATGATATTTGAAATAAGAAAATTAATATGCAAGTAAAAGTAGAATGGTCTAGTCTTTCTCATCATAAGTATCTAGTTATTTACTTCAAAATTTTCATGCAATTGATTTGAGTGGGAAAACCAACATCTTTGATATTTTAATTATTATAGTCTGCCTCAATCCTAATTTGTTCTATGAACTAAAACACTGACTTCAGCTAACTCAGACAAAACTCTCCCCCAGGATAAGATAAAGAGAAAGGAAATGATGGAATTTATAGGTTCGCCTTTATTGTTTTCCACTTAAATACCTAACTCTATAAATGACCATAAATTACAATCCTTTAGTGTGTATTAATTTTCTTGAGTATCCTCATAAATAACATTCAGATTTGCATCTATTATAAAGGAATCCATATGCCATTATGGTTTTCCTTGCTGGTTTATTTGCGCTCAGGGCATTTCCCGGGATTAGCAACCAGCTGGGTCTAAATGGGGCCTGAGTGAACTCTGTGCTATCAATTACGAACAATCAGCCATTAAGCTCCAGGAAATGTCTCACGTCTCATTAGTTACTGTGTATTTCCAAATTCTAGCATCTTCCAATCCTTTCTCTTCGCAGTAATTAAACTCTGGTAGAAAGGCTATGAAAAAGGAGCACATGGTGATGATTTAGCTAGAACAAACTTGTAGTCATTTTTCGTGTTCTGTTTTTTAATTTTTTTTTTTCAGTTTTCTATGGGGCTTGCACATTCACCAGAGAAAGAAAGCACCCCCAAGAGAGGATGGCCATGTCACAATCCCTTTTTCTCCATAGTTCTCTTGGGATTCTGGGCATGCATGCACAGTGTGTTTCTAAAGATACTCGGTCTAGGGGACCAGCAGTTAGAGTAATGGCTCTGTCGCTGAACTCCCATGTAGCCGACCGTGGTTCAAGTCCCGGATCTGGTGGCTTAAACTCACACTGGGTGCATGTCCGTGCGTGCCTGAGAGGATAATGGACGAGAAGGGATTGCGGTGTGGCCATCTCCCCTGGGGGGCGATTTCTCACTTTCTGTCTCCTTGTCTGTCTCTGTTTTTCTGGCGAGTTCACACGCCCTATAGCAAAAACCTCTCCAAAAAAAAAAAAAAAAGAAAAAAAAAGATGCTTGGTCTGGGATTTGAACCTCACAGTTGGCCATATGGGATTGAGCCACTTCAATGACCATGCCCAAGTGTTCTCTTTTTTGCCACTCTTTTGTTTGAGAGGGTGGGTAGAGAGTATCATATGGAAGACACACTCTTTGAAATATTCTTACAAAAATGTATTTTGTTTGTTATCCCTTTGTTTTTTTTTTTTCCATGAGTAACATTGATTTCTATACTCTAGAATTCTTGCATGAACATGAGATTTCTGAAGGAGAAAGAGTTTCAGTTACCCTCAACTATGTAAAAATAAAAGTAGTTTTCAGGGGAAAAAATTAAATGGCTCAAATTAAAGTAAAAACAAAATGATCAGGGAAAAAACAAACACAAAACATTTAAAAAACACAAAAGTGAAAATTATCTGTTGATAATTTATATGGTAATGCACTGTATTTATGCTGGGAAAACCACATAATAAATTGCAAAGATATATAGTGATGAAATGTAATTTAAATCTATGTATATATAATTAAAAATAAATAAATAAAAGAAACAAAAAATAAAACCAAAGTGATCTCTCTATGTAAAAGGTCCAAGTGGACAATAGTAAGATTAGTCTTATTCTATGAAATATGCATTGCATGCAATGTTGGACATCTTGGTAAAATGAGGCAGTACCTTGTTGCCAGCAGTAGAATTCAAGCAGCCTGACAGTCATCAAACCACACACCTGAGTCTTCACAGTCATGAAATAGAAGTTTCCTCATACCACCTAGTATCAGTAGGCACATACCTACAATATTGTCCAGGAAAAGTGATGTGTAATTACCCAAAAAAGTACTATGACATTTACCTTTGATTGAAATGTCAAGAATTTTTAGATAATTCATGGCTACTTGGATTTTAATATATAGCTTTGGTTTTATTTGACAGAAATATGTCTCAATCCTGTATGCACCCATATATTTATTTTTGCAGGTGAAGGTGATACTACACCTACAATCGTCAATTTAGACCGTAAGTGATCTTTCAAAATATGTAGTATAATCTGAGTCTCTATGTGTCAGAGATAATATTATTTACTTTAAAGAAATTTATCTTATCACTTCCATCATAAGTGAAAGTGATACTAGCTTTCATCATAGCTTAAAGTATTTGTTTTTATTTTGAAAAATAGTTTTTCCCCCCCTATGGATGTAAAGAAGTTTTCAAAGCTACTGTATACTGAATATAAAAGTTCGATTCTCTATCAGAAAATATGTTAGATGTTATGCATGACTTTGAAAAGAGCATTAATATTTACTTTTAATTTCAAGCACAATGTATATAAGGGATCACCTTTATACATCCCATCCTTTAAATAAAATGAGGATGCTGTCAGAAATAACAAAGTCTGATCAGAAACTTGCACAGTCTTTGTCTCTATCTTTAGAGCTCTTTGTTTGCCCTACAGTCTACTAGGCAAAAGATGACAGAAATGAGAAGTTCAGTTAATCCTCAATGTAAGAATCTGTTGGAAGCTACTTGTTTTTGATTTTCAAATATTTGTTGGACTAAAGGAAGTTGTTCAAATGTTTTGCTTTAAAAGACCACCTGCTGTGCCCCAGGCTGAGGAAGCAAATGGAAATATTTTCTAGATCATGGAAAGCAGTAGAAAGCATAGGCCAGAAACACAGAGGAAGGTCAAGAAAATATTTACCTCAAAGAATTTTGTATTGTCATTTGGACCCAATAATTTAGACATAACAAAAATATCATTTGGATATAATTTCAACAAATCTAATATTGATAATGTATTTCAAACTAGCTCTCCTCTTTTTTTTTTTTTTCCAAATGTGGAATAATCAAAAATAGTTTTGGTTCCTACTGTTACTGATTTCCGTGACACTGAGAAATAACCACTATAAAAACCATTATTTCATTTATGTCAAGTTAGCCAGGGAAATACCACATTAGTGTTAGACCTGAATGTACTCTTAGTGCGTGTTGAGCACAGCCACTTTCTCCATCACGGCAATCCTGTCTCTCTGGAGTGCAGTAGGCAGTAGTTTTTCCATGTCATTCAGCTCTTCAGATGAGGATGACAAGCGTGAGGAGCTTGTCATGGTACTGTGGTCATATATGCTCTTTCTCCAAAATGTTCTGACACAATTATAGTAGTTACATTTATCTAGTTATTATTGCATTTAAGAAAACTGAGAGGCACTGATTATTTCAAAATATTGAATCAAAATGTTACATTTGGTCTTGTTTTCAGATCCTGTAATATCTTGCTCCAAAACAAAACAACTGCGAGTTGTAAATGGAATTCCAACAAGAACAAATGTAGGCTGGATGGTTAGTTTGAAATACAGGTAATTATGAGTAGATACAAATCATACATATTCCTCCAAGTACCCAGACAGGGGGTAAAAGAGGGGACTGAACACATTCTGCTCATCAAACTGTAAGCTCTGGGCTTTGCAATTTGTGACTCCACAGGTTGAGCCTTTTAAAATGTTCACAAAAGTCCCGTATGTGTTGGGACCAGCAGTTAGCATAATGGCTATGTCACTGAACTTCCATGTTAGTTGACTGTGGTTTGAGTCCTGGACCCAGTGGCTTAAAATCTCACCAGGCACATGTGCATACATGCCCAAGATCCTGAGAGGAGAATAGAGGAGAAGGGGTCGCAGCATGGCCATCCCCCCTGGGGGGTGATTTCTTGCTTTCTATCTCTCTGTCTCTGTCTTTCTGGGGAGCACACACGCCCTATAGCAAAAACCTCTCAAAAAAAAAAAAAAAAAAAAGTCCTGTATGTGTTGACATCACTCCTGATTCTGAGTGACACTTCGGTTCTGATTAAGCAAATGACAACCATACAGAGGACCTACTTATATCTTAATATCACTGTGATAGTTACATATATCATTGACATTCCAATATAGAATATTATTATTGTATTTTCTAACATGTCTGTGTATAATCGTATTGGAAATTTTATGGTTGTTTTTAATTTCTGACTTTTTTCTTATAACTCAGATGAAAAATGGCAACTTGGCATTCTAGAGTATTGTATCATTATAAAAAGATGAACAAACTATATTAATAGTTGAGCAGTCTTGACCTCATAGAAATTAATGTGGATAGAACATTCTTATTTAAAAATTTGTATTTAATAACTATATATCTTTACAGTATACAAATTGCTTTTTCTAGCATGAATACCATGCATGTAAGTCAAGACAAAGACATTACTATATACATTAACATCAGCAAATAGCCCTATTTTTTGGGGGCAATTATATGCAATTTTTTCTTTTCCTGACCCCCTTCCTCTCTCCCTCTTTCCTTCTATTACTCACCCCTGACTTACCCCTATCCTTACTAACTCTAGCATCTAAACTTGCCCTCCCTGCTACTATACTTGCCAGTTTTTCAGTTTCTGCTATAGAGCGTGAATATGTGATATATATTAAGTGGGGACGTACAAAGTTTTTCTTTCATAAGTCTGGCTTGCTTCATTTAGCATTAAGTCTTCCATATTCGTCCACTTTGTATCAAATGTCAGGGTCTCGGTTTTTATGGCTGAATAGTATTCCATAGAGTAAATATGCCACACTTTTCCAATCCCATTGTCTATTTTTGGACATTTGGGGTGATTCCGTGTCCTAGCAATTGTAAATAATGCTGCAGTAAACATGGATGTGCAGGTCTTTTTCAGATTGATATATCCATATATCCATTCCTCAATGCTCTGGAGAATCAGTGACATATTCTATACACATTTACTTCATAAATTTTATTGTTCTGGAATACCAAGCTTAGTAATTAGGCCATAAAACTTAATTTGAAAGTATAAATTAACTTAAAATCTGAGTTTAAGACTTTTGCTATACCACACATAACATTCCGTGTGGTAATTAGAAGGCTACAATGTCTGCATCTTGATCTCTGCCAGAATCACACTATACACACACATCAAAATGCACCTGAATTCCAACGCGTTCTCTCTTGCTTCCTCCACACCCCATGTTTCTCCCAACAGGCCTTTGTAGTATCGTTCCCACTGTGGTTTTTGTCCCCCACGTGTAATCCTGAAAATTCCTTCTCATCCTTCACATCTCAACTTGAAGATCTCATCTTTTAGGAAATTCTACCTATTCCTTCACCCTTAGCCTTCTAGGGTCGAGGGAGAAAATACATCTTTTACTGCCATTAAATCATAGTGACCTTAAAATAGTTGAAATCTAAGTCCTTTTATGAATAAGGTTTTTTTTTTTTTTTGTAATTTTTGTCATAGGGCCCATGTATTCAGAGAGACAGAGAGAAGGAGAAAGAGAGGGTAAGTGAGAAAGCATACCTCCAGGGAGGATGGATGATGCAATCCCTTTCCTTCATTTTCCTCTTGGGATTTTGGGCATGCACGTGCACTCAGCATCTTTTTCAGACTGCTAAGTATGGGAGTCCATATCACTGGCCATGTGGGATCCAGCCCCTACCCACCACACCACTGGCTGGCCTGATAAGCCAATTCTTGGCACCAGGATTTGTATCTTTTAATATGTATAATTTTACATCACCACAATGTTGTAGGAAAGAACAAATAGTTCTCTTTTAGTAGATTAATCCTTCTCTCAAGTGGTAACTCATCAGAATTTATTAATATATATGCTGATAACTATAGTATAGCTCTTGTTGGGTGTGCAGTGTTGAAATAGAATCTTGAAACTAATCTGAATATTAAAACTGATTAATAAAGATTATAACAAATTTTTAGAGTATTTAATTTTCTTCATTATAAAAATATTCCAAGAATTTACATCTCTGAGTTAATTAGTGCTTTTTTACTAATCTTATAATCCTAGGTTGGGAAAAAAAGATAATATACTTCTGAATTATTTTTACCAATAAGAGAATGTACGAAGACAGTACTTGATAATCTCAACCCTTAGAAAAGTAGGTGAAACACTTTTTCATCAGATAAAGAGTACCATAACATTTTAGAAATTGTTTTCCTTTTAAATCCAAGTTCTTAGTAACAACAGCTGTCTAGTTATTCTTCCAAAACACATACTAGAGAAATAGAAGTTAAAACTCGATATGTACTCTTATCCTCCTGTGTGGTAAAAGTCGTAAATAACTCTGGTCTTAGTCTGGAAATCTTCTAGTATTACCCTCTGAAGAACTGAACATCTGTATTCTTGGAAATGTAAGTTGTGAAAAATTGTACTTTTTGCATAACTCTGCCAAAAAAGAAGGGATTTACAGATTTTGGAAATCAAGAAATGAATGTACTAGCACTTATTATTCTCTACAAATATTTTAAAATTTCCTAGGTTATTTTATAAAAAAAACAATGTTTCACTTTTATAAGTAGAACGTTTTACTGCTGGTCGTACACTGAACAAATACATTTCTTTAAACTCAGTTATACTTTAAGTTAATATAGCAAAATTAAATGACATTGAAAGAAGGAAATAGTGTACGATAATATATATTACTACCACTGAATGGTTTTCTGGCTTTACATAAGAACATCCATTTTTCATAGCCAAACACTGAATTTAAAGTAGGCTCACATTATTTCTTTCTTATTCTAAATTTGGAGCGTATACTTTTCTCTCACAGTATAGATGCACATACATGTCTGGATGTGTGTTTGGGGTATGGATATAAAAACTGAGTTTCCCCTTTTTTTTAAGACAGATTTTTGCGGGGCTGGCAGGTGCTCTGGTGGTTAAGGGGACTAGACTCCTACAGGTTTGATTGCAGTTTGAGTCCCAGACCTGGCGGCTTGCTTTCTCACTTTCCCTGTTTCTCTCTCTCTCTCTCTCTTTCTCTCCCTCTCACCCTCCCTCCCTACTAACTGGTCAAATTAAAAGTTAAATAAATAAAATAATTCTTAAAAAAAAAAAGAAAGATTTTTGCTGTAAAGTGTGTGTGCTTACTGGAGACACAGAGAGAAACAGAGAGACAGAAAGCAAGAAATTACTCCCCGGGGGGGGATAGCCACACCACAATCCCTTCTCCTTTCTCCTCTCAGGATTTTGGGTACACATGCATGTGCACCTGACGTCAGTTTTGAGACTCTAACCACAGTTGACTACATGGGAGTCCAGTAATGTAACCATTATGCTATCTGCTGGTCCCTGAGTTCTTCAAACTAGACAAAAATAAAGTTGACTTTGAAAACATTTCTCAATATAAACATATATAAATAGTATATATACATATTGTGTATCTTATTATGAAAAAAATGTGTTTATGCTACAATGACTGAATATCACCTCTCAAATAGAAGAACTAATCATTTTCTTCCAATGGAATCGTTTCTACATTTTTCTCTCCAGTGCATTTATTGTTTAACAAATAGAGCCACAGGTTTTGCATTAATTGGCAGGCACTCTTACTGCCCAGATGTTACTTGTTTCTTTTTTCTCTTTCTCATAGAAATAAACATATCTGTGGAGGATCATTGATAAAGGAAAGTTGGGTTCTTACTGCAAGACAGTGTTTCCCTTCTCGGTAAAATTTTTGAAACCAATATTTGTTTTGAGTATTGAAAATATGTATGCCTTCGACTTAGCGTCTAAGCTGAGACTATGTATTTACATACATTCACTCGCATGAAGTGCTAATAAATTCTTTTTTAAAGTTTAGCTTACAAAACTTTGATTTCACTGATGTTTACATGCTTGGTACCACTTTAGTTTACCTCTTTTTTTTTTTAATGATTTAGCATTATTCTGATGTGGAAAAGATTTTCTAGAATTATGTAATTAGTTTATAACCAAAATGTCACTTGTTCTCTGTATTTCTAGATAGATATTCTATTTGTGAAGTATTGACAGACTTCTCATTCTTTTTCTATGTAAAGCTAGAGTTAGAATAATTTGGGGAATGATCTTCAAAGAAAATTTACCTAAAGAGTCACTTTGATTTTGTTTGTATAAAACTTCAACTACAATTAATAAACCAAATATATACACAGATGAGATAAATAAAGCAAAATTTTATAGTAAAATTATAATCTATGTGAAGTGTTTTACCTTGTCCACAGGGTACTTTCTCTCACCAGCCAGAATAATAAAAAGTTTTTAAACAGCCACTTAGAGTTTCACCAATTTAAAATCTTTTTCTGTAAATGGTTGCAGTATTCACAATCTCCCCTGAAAGATGGATACTTTATTATATTTTGCATCAAATTTTAAATTTAGGTTGTCTGCCCTTATAAGCTAAAAAACAAATAATGAAAATATTACACAATTTGGAGTTGTATTTTACATTCAATTTTTCACTTAGGAACAAAGACTTGAAAGACTACGAAGCTTGGCTTGGCATTCATGATGTCCATGGACGAGGAGATGAGAGGCGCAAGCAGGTTCTAAATGTGTCCCAGCTGGTATATGGCCCTGAAGGGTCAGATCTGGTTTTATTGAAGCTTGCAAGGTTAAGAGATTTGATTTTCTCTTCTTTTTTAACCTAGATGAAATTGGTAAAGAGCTTTCTTCAGCTGTGTGGCTAATTTTTTCTCATATACATTTACTATAAAAGCATATGTCATATGTCAAGAAAAGCGTGTTTATATTGTGTGTGTAGGTGCATATATAGAGAAGCATTGGCAAAATTTTCAAAAATCAATAAATAAAGTGGGAGTAATAAATTTGGACCAATAGTCTGCTCAGCTTGCTTTAAAAGTGAATTTTAATAAGTGGGTATTTGATAACTCTAAAATGTAAAATAATTTTTGTAAAGATAATGATTTATTCTTTTTTGCCAAGATTATTCATATTTTTGTACATTTAAATAATGTCAATATCTTTATAAATAACTTATTTCCTTTTAAAAATTATTTATTTTATTATTTATTGGCTTAGATTTTTTTAACATTTTTAATATTCGATCACAGCATATTTTTGGAAATATATGGAAAATGAGTTTTCCCAGCATGACTACATTAGCAATGAATCATTTCTCCACTATCTACCCAAGATTTCATCATTATGTATTATTCCTTTTCCTTTTAAGAAACAAGAATTATTCTCTCTAAATATCATACTAAATTGATACAGCTTAAATATGAATTTTATGTTGAATCCAATGAGAATCCTTACCACTGTATTTTCTCTTTTTAGGCCTGCTCTCTTGGATGACTTTGTTAGTACAATTGATTTACCTAATTATGGATGCACGATTCCTGAAAAAACCACTTGTAGTGTTTATGGCTGGGGCTACACTGGATGTAAGCTCATTTCTACTTGTTTTCTTTTTTCTTATTTTCAGAGGGCATGTGCACTCACCAGGGAGAGAGAGACAGAAGGAGAGGGAGAGAGCATCCTTCAAAAGGATGTGGTCACAACTTGGTCTCTTCTCCATTTCTCCATCCTGTTATACTTTCGTGCATGCATGTACACATGCCTGGCATGTTTTTCAAGCCACCATGGCTAGGATTCCCATGGTGGCTGGCCATGTGGGATCCAACTCCCTTAATCACTTAACCAACCACGGAGCTGCCCTATGCTAGATTTGAAAAGACAAGGCAATATCATATTTTTAACATTTTGTTTCTTATGTTTCTCTCAATTACCTTGTACTGACTATTTATTTTGTGCATTGTTCTAGTGATCAACTCTGATGGTCTATTAAGAGTAGCACATCTTTATATCATGGGGAATGAGAAATGCAGCCAGCATCATCAAGGGAAGGTGACTCTGAATGAGTCTGAAATATGTGCAGGGGCTGAAAAGATTGGATCAGGACCATGTGAGGTAAGGGAAAAAAGAAAAAAAAAGCTATTTAAAAAGGAATATCTGGGAACCAGCATATGATGTAGCAGTTACATCTCTGGACTCTGGACTCCCACATGGCCAACCGTGGTTTGAGTCTGGACCAGGTGGCTTGAAAATTATACTGGGCACATGTGCATGAATGCCCAAGAACCCCAGAAGGAGAATGGAGAAGGGATTGCGGAGTGGCCATCCCCACTGGAGGGTGATTTCTTACTTTCTCTCTCACTGTGTCTGTCTCTCACTTTTTCCACACACCTTAAGGCAACCCCCCCACCCCCCCAAAAAAGTATGTCTGGGGCCAGCAGATGGTGTGGTGCTAAAGGTACTGGACTCTCACATGGTGGATGGTAGTTCTAGTCCTGGACCTGGCAACCTGCTTTCTCACTTTCTCTCTCTGTCTTACTCTGTTGAGCCACATGTCCTATAGCATAATTTTTATTTAAACTAAAAATCATAATAAATAAAATAAAATAAATAATTCTTGAAAAAAGGAATATGTGATTGACAGCATAGTTTTTTCCTGGTTTTTGTTTGTTTTCTTTTCTCAAATCAAAATAACTGTATACTAACCTATTCTAGGAGAGAGAAACTGAGAATGAACTCTGTTATTCTTGTTTATTTCTCTGAACTAAACAGTGAGATGATCCATGCTTCAATCACACCTTACTATAATGACATAGCCCTCTCAAAAGAACAATAGATGAATGTAACTAGAACTCTAAGGGAAAGCTGTGTAAATCAGAAGTATCCAATTCAGTTTAATATAATAGTTTGCATATTTCTAATGTTTTTCTAAATATATCTGATCTTCCCAAATTCTCCTTAAATGAACCTCATTAATAATATTATCTCAAGATACATGCCTAGTTTTAAACTTCTAAATCTGGTTTTGGTTAGGCTGGTGTGTGTGTGTGTGTGTAAACAAATTCTATTTTAAAAACCTAAAGGTCAAAGTTTCTAACTTTAAGAGCTTGAACTGTTTCATTTGTTAGGCAACTGTTTTTTAACTTGACAGTATTCCTACCCTTCCTTTACAAAAATAGGATGTTAAATGTTGTATTTCAGATGTATTTTGAATATGAGAGACATGTTCTCCAAGCCTTGGAGTTCTGGAATTGTGGAACATTATATGTAGAAAAACACGAAATGAGTTAAATAATAATGAAATGTACTTTGTATATGGGAAAATGCATATCTTAAGTGTGGAACATAAGTATGTACTAAAATGCATATATACCTTACTTGAGATTTTATTTCTAAAGAATAAGAAAATGTTTTACTAAATTAAAAATTTTTTAAACTGCCCTAAAAGGATATGATTAGAAGCAGATTATATATTTATAAACACTTTTAAATTTGGTGTCTTTCCAGCTAATGAACACTACTGTAATCATTATAACAGAAAAATCTAGGAGAAATAAATAGGTACTTTTTTTTTTTTTTTTTTTTGTCTTTAACCCTGAGAGTCTCATGAGCATGGAAGTTTTGAGCTAGACCCAGTTTGGGAGATCATCAAGGAAGCAATGTATTTATCCCAACCTCATTACCATTACTAATACTGACATGACAACTGCTTTTCAGGAATAACTCTTAATGTTGTTTGTCATTTTTACATTCTCAGTGCCCTTACTTTCCCTTTATCCCTTAGTTTCATTATCATCATCCTGTTAGTAAAACAGGACTTCACATTGATTCTGCCATTCCTCAAAAAATATGTATCCTCCATAATTTCTTTTTTTAATTTATTTCTTCCTTTCATGAAAGATAAAGAGAGAAACACAACCTGCCAACACCCACAAAGGGTCTTTCATGCTGTGATCCCCTAGTACATCATGTAGGGAGGCCTTGGGACACCAACCTCGGATCCCTGTGTGAATCCAGCATTTCAAGACTTTGCATTACTGCTCACCACCACAGTTAGCTCTATTTATATATATATATGTATATATACACACATATATATATGTATGTGTGTGTATGTATATATATTTATTTATTTATAAATACATGTTATTAAAAACATTACTTATTTACATAAAATTATAAGTAATGTATTTATAATAAATTGATTAATATGTTTACAAACATGTATTTGTAGGGCATTTATTTCTAAATACATATTTATTTTATGTTGGTTATTATTAAAATATATTTATAATTTTATTCATACACTTATATGTAAATTTATTTAGAGTCAAAATATATATAATCACTCAAATTTAAAACAAGACATTTTAATAACTACTAAAAAATTTAAAGGTTAGCCAGTGACATAGTGGTTAAGTACGGTGGAACCCACATGGCCTATTATGTAGCTTAGTCCGGCACTCTGAGGCCTGAGACACTCTGGGCGTGTGTGCCCAAAATTCTGAGAGGAGAATGGAAGAAAAGAGATTGTTCCTTGGCTCTCTCCCCAGGGGGTGCTTTCTCACTCCCTCTCTCCTCCAGCAAGCACATGTACCCTATAGCAGAATTTTAAAAAGAAGATAGATATTTGAAAAGGAAATCTCTTAAGTGTTTGAATAGTTTCAATAGTATTACAGTAACGTATCTAAAGTGAATCGCTCTCAAAAGTTCTTTTTAGTAATCACTTGGTGCATTGGATTAAAAGTTAGCTTTCTATCATTACATTGACATAGTTATAAAAGTCAGTTAGAACACACCGTTTTCCTTTGCCATTCGATTTTCTACTTCAACCCCAGCTTGACTTTTTCTGCTATAGGATGTTCTTGCTATCTTCTTTCCACCTGCATCACAAAACTAAAATTTGCTGTGATTTAACTTATCTAATAACGTTGCTGTTAGAACAATATTAGAGGGAATTTAAGGTAGTCCCAAACACCCCTTTTCATATAAAGATGCCAAAAGACAGTCATTGCCTTCTTAGGAGACTACATGATGTATGAAAGTAATATAAGACAGTTGTAATGGTATATAACCATATGTATAACCGTATCTCTCTCTCTCTCTATCTATAGATAGATAGATATGAATGTGCACAAATAACATATAAATATGCTCTATATACATAAACACACAGATCAACAGATCAATCATCTATCAGTCTATGTATCATCTCTCATCTACCTCTCTCTAGTGATACAGCAGGATTGCTATTATAGGAAATACTATGAAATCATAACTACCCAATGGAAAGAAGGGTATAAAATAAAACTATAAACTATATTAATTACTAATACCAATGATAAGTGGTGGAACATCACTTTTCTCTGAAAAAACAGTTTCCAAGTAATAAATAGAATTATATTAAGAATTACAAGGTTTTTTTTTTTAATTTAACTTATTAAGATAATCTAGGGACAGATTTGGAAGAAAGACAAAACTTTAGAAATAGAAAACTCAATAAAGTTTACTTATTAAATCTATAGAATTACAGGTTGGTTTCTTTCTATATATTTTAAATTCTCTATTTGAAATATTGTGAAGATTAGAAGATCAAATATTAAATCTCTTTATTAAATAAGTAACAATGATTATGTAATAGTCTTCATTCAGCAAAGATAAAGAACGTTGAAGGAACCAGATGGTAACACATCTGGACCCACATGAGTTAGCATTCAGGATTTCCATGAACAAACTAGGTGTTCATGTATGTGCCTGTGATCCAGGCTGGCAAACGCTGGCAGTGGATTCTGGCCTGGAAATCCTATAGGAGGCTCTTGTATTTTGCTGACTCTCTCTCTCACCCTATCACTCCCATATGAGAGAAATAAACACACACTTAAAAGAATATGAGTGTAAGTAGCATGGTGGTTAAAGTCCTGGACTCCCTACATGGCTGACTGTGGTTCTAGTATCAACAGATCAATCATCTATCAGTCTATGTATCATCTCTCATCTACCTCTCTCTAGTGATACAGCAGGATTGCTATTATAGGAAATACTATGAAATCATAACTACCCAATGGAAAGAAGGGTATAAAATAAAACTATAAACTATATTAATTACTAATACCAATGATAAGTGGTGGAACATCACTTTTCTCTGAAAAAACAGTTTCCAAGTAATAAATAGAATTATATTAAGAATTACAAGGTTTTTTTTTTTAATTTAACTTATTAAGATAATCTAGGGACAGATTTGGAAGAAAGACAAAACTTTAGAAATAGAAAACTCAATAAAGTTTACTTATTAAATCTATAGAATTACAGGTTGGTTTCTTTCTATATATTTTAAATTCTCTATTTGAAATATTGTGAAGATTAGAAGATCAAATATTAAATCTCTTTATTAAATAAGTAACAATGATTATGTAATAGTCTTCATTCAGCAAAGATAAAGAACGTTGAAGGAACCAGATGGTAACACATCTGGACCCACATGAGTTAGCATTCAGGATTTCCATGAACAAACTAGGTGTTCATGTATGTGCCTGTGATCCAGGCTGGCAAACGCTGGCAGTGGATTCTGGCCTGGAAATCCTATAGGAGGCTCTTGTATTTTGCTGACTCTCTCTCTCACCCTATCACTCCCATATGAGAGAAATAAACACACACTTAAAAGAATATGAGTGTAAGTAGCATGGTGGTTAAAGTCCTGGACTCCCTACATGGCTGACTGTGGTTCTAGTCCCTGACCTGGTGGCTTGCTTTCTTACTTTTGCTGTTTCTCTCTCTTGTAAAATTGAAAAATAATAAATAAAATTATTTTTTTTAAAAAAAGGAGAGTATTTTTGAAAGAGTAAATCATTCCTAAGTGAATACTACACAAGATAGAACACTCTGAATTTTGTTCTTACCTCTTACTTGACGAGTTCAATAGAAAGACAACTGGAGGCAGTGCATAGTGAGGTGATTGAGGCTATTGGATCCCACGTGGCCAACTGCATGGATTGAGTACCAGACCCAGCAGCTTGAAAAACACATGTGTGCATGTGCATTCAGACTCCAAATCCCAAAAGTAGAGAAATAGAGGAAAGGGACTGTGGCATTAGCATTTTCTGTGGGGAGTGATTTCTCACTTTCCCTCCCTCTCTCTCTCTGGTGAATACAGGTACCCTCCGGAACAAAAGAAAAAATAAATAAAAAAATAAAGAATTAAAAAAAGAAACAGACAACTAACGGTCTAGTACATCAATATTTATGTCTTCATATTTAAGTTGCAGCTATTCCCTCTTTTGTGAAATGTACCTTTGCGATGCAAATCTATACAGGATAATATTAATGAATTGTTTTTATTTATAAAATAATGCTTTGCTGTTGTTGAATCTCTTCTTCCTAGGGGGATTATGGTGGCCCACTTGTTTGTGAACAAAATAAAATGAGAATGCTTCTTGGTGTCATTGTTCCTGGTCGTGGATGTGCCATTCCAAATCGTCCTGGTATTTTTGTCCGAGTAGCATATTATGCAAAATGGATACACAAAATTATATTAACATATAAAGTACCTCAATCATAGCTAAAGTAAGTGTGTCTGAAACATGCATCAATACAACTCTCTTTTACATGAAGATTCAGAGAACGCGGAATTAAAATGTCACTTAAAATAATCCTACGACAACTACTTGAGTGTCATGTTTGTTAAGATACTCATTATTATTTATGGATGTTTTCTGTTGTTTTGTTTGTCAGTGTTATTTTGTAAATGTTGAAGTGAATTAAGGTACATGCAAGTGAAGTAACATATCTCCTGAAGATACTTGAATGGGTTAAAAAAATGCAGAGGAATACTTGCTGGATGATAAAAGATTTAATAGAAAAGACTGATTAATTTCTATGCTGCTTTCCAAGGTCAATCTCTTATTAATGAATAAACCATAAGTTAAACATCACTTTAACTCACCAAACCAATTTATACCTATGACCTTAAATTGTAACTCTATATTAAATTATATCACTTTCATATGTTACAGTTAATTCATTTCTCCTCACTGTGTATCCTGCTATCTGGTACACACTTTTGCAAAAACACACCCACATAGACATGCCTGGCAACATATGTGTATGCAATATAGTTTAAATTGTGCCATAGTAATGTAACCCTTGGATATTTTGGATGTATGTACTTAAATTTTTTTCTCAAAAAATAAAAATAGAAATCTCTAAAGACCAGTAGAAATATTATGCAAAGGTGCAAGATAAAAGTGGCTAGTTATTTTTTCATACATAATCCTCAGATGAATTCCACTGGCTGGTATTTCTGGTGTGTATAACTAACAGTTAAATAACACCTATTATAGGTGTCAACATATATTTATTAGTCATTTAGTCATGACTTTTTGATGACCCAATATTATTCTAGTTATTTTATGTAGTTTCTAATTCTTAAAAACAGAGAGAGAGAGTGATATGAGTACTTATATTATCCCCCAACAAAAAAACTTGGGCTATGTATTTATGCAAGGTATTTGTAGATATATTTTCCTAAAGCATTTCTTAGATTCTCAAATAAGTGTATAATTAAAGAAGTTTAAAGGTGTTTTAATCATTTAAAATGTATTAAGCAGGTTAATTCAAAGACTTATTGTGATAGGCTTGTAGCTCACTCTTTTTAAATTAAAAAATATATATATTTAAGAGAAAAATTTCCATGCCTACAGAGTTTAAATAGTCTATCAAATCATGAATCAAAGTACATATTGAGAGAAAACAAAAATACTTGTTTCAACATGGGATTTTTTTATCCTAATTAAGGCTTAGTCAAGTAGAGTGTAAAAAAGTATCAAAGGAAAGAAAGTTTTCCAGATCTTAAGAATAGTTTTAGCTATGTATTCGATTATGTTTTCAAAAGTAGAGTTAAATCTGCTGAATCTGATTTTTTATCCAGGTATCTCCATTAAAAGTTTTGTTTTACAAAGATCTGTCCTAATGTCATGGGAAATAGTCATTTAAATTTTGTATTCTTAACGATTATAATCAAATTTCTATTACTGCATCTGTCATGCTTAGCAAAGGAGCATGTATTTGTTAAGAAGTAGAGTAAAAAATAGGATCGGCTTTGAATTTTCACATAATCTTCCTGTGTAAAACATCTTATAAAATAATTATTTGAACACTTTAAATATAGTATTCCCATTTCTCTGGCTTGGTTCTCTTGAATGACTTTGTTAAGGCCAAATCTCTTAACCCTTGCAATTCCATTTGGAATAAAACAGTTTTAAATTTACTGGCAAGCTTTGTTCACAGAGTATAGGGCAGCAAATCCAGAAATGCGTATGCAAGTTGCACTGTATTGTTTCATGTTAAGGCGTAACGGTATCAAGAAACTTATCAGCGGAAGCAATGAGACACCTAATCAGTTGATTGTACTTCTCTTTTATATAATACACTATTTAAATAAACACATAGAAATTTCAAAGGCATATTTTCACAATATTAAAGTATTTTTCATAGTTTCTTCTTCAGAATTGAATAACTTTAATTACTTATTAATGATATGTGTAAAACTTTTATGAAAATTGCAACATTTTAAAATGCTCACATTAAAAAAATACTTATTCTATGTCTTTTCCCTTACATTTCCATGTAGAGAGATAGGAATTTCCTACATACAAGAACTGGCTAACATTTTAGATATTTTGAACTCAGTTTTTTCCATTTTATTAAAGAATAAAAACAACTAATCATTAAACATGTTGTGGAAAGCAATGCTTTCTTTGGGAGCTTTCCTCTGTGACAGGAAGAAATGGGTGGAATTTACTATGAAAGTGAGGTGGATCATTTTAGATGGCTGGATGAGGTATAATAATGTCACTATTCTCTGGTGAAGGATAATGTTTACTGGGTGTGTTTTCTTCTAAATAAACTACAAAAAATCCAACTTATCGAAAAATCCATTTTATTTTGCATTATGGACAAACATGCCTTTTTCACTAGAGGTTTTTCAATGCTATCTTTGTTTGGGCTGTTTGAATAATGGTTCTATGCTGTTTTAATTGTAGACATTTTCTTATGTCTACCAGAAATAGAAATGTAAAATTAAAATATGTGTCATAATGTCTCTGCCGTGCAGAAGGGATGATAATCCTTTTGTATACTTCTTTAATTTTATTGTAAAATGCGTGACTTTTACCTATTTGCTGTGGGCAGGTCCTCAGTACAGTGGTTTATATTGAGTCAGTCTCTAGTATTAACAGGCTCTTGCTTGCTATCTAAGTGTTTCAAACTATGGGAAGTGTGAGACACTGGAAGGCAAGAAAAATAACAATAATGGCATGTGATAGCAAAATTATATTTCACTTATTCCTGTGAATATTTCTTGTTGGTACCAATGGTACTGTACAAACTGAATGTTATAGCCACACATTCCCTTGGAAAGAACACTGTCAAGAAGTGGGACATTGTAGAAGATACATTTTTTCTTGTTTCTAAACTTTTCTCAAAAGAAATACTGGTTTTGCAACATAAAGATTTTTTTAATAAGCTCACATACTAAAAAAATTTTCATTTGACTTACTCAAATTCAAAATATAAGTATTTTCAATTAATTATACCCAATATATATGAAATGCTAAGTCCTAAAATTTTTTGACAAGTTTATTTAAAACATAATATTGGTTTGAATAAAAACACGTAGCCTTTGTCTTTTTTAGAGACCATTTTAAAATAAATTACTTTTTATAATAAAGTCCTAAAAGAAATGGTCTTCCAAAATTTACCTAAATTTAGAGCCAAGAACTTGGTAATGTGAAAAAAAAAATGTTATTATTCTCTAGACCCTATAAATCTTGACAGTGTATCTTTAAAATAGGTTCATTTCCATTTGCACAGAAAGTTTCTGTCTTTCAGAAACTGAAAGTGGAATACTGTGGATATTATGACTGTTTGTTTTGTGTGTAAATAGGAAATTGATAAGCTGCCTATTGGAGGGTATAGCTGGATGCTTACCCTAAAAAAAAGGGAACACTGTGGTTATTACTTGTATTATAAAGTTTCTGTAGTTAATAAAGTTGTTATTTTTGTAACCATGATTATATTATTATTAATAATAATAAAATATTTTATCAAAATGCTTCCCTTCTCTTTTATAATTATATATACAATCATGTTTGCATCTGTCCTAGGACTTTCATGCACTAAAAGCAACTATTTCAATTTCATTGACAAAAAATTACATACATTTTATCACAAGAAATATCATATAACCTGTTTAATAACTACTGCAAAAATGATCGTTTTATTTCAACTTCTACCTGTGACAATATCAGTCCTCTTCAGTAATCCATTAATCTCTATGCACTTCTGTTTCTCCCATTGTAAAATACAGTATTTGTCATTCTTCAGATTCACTAAAATGGTGGTGTACCATAGTTTGCCAATATATACAAAAGAATTGTCAGAAATGATCATCTCATTTCCTTTCCAATGTTACTCTGTATTACAAAGGCGACTATAAAAAATTGATTTACTTGGGGTACCTTCAAAACACACATTAAAATCAGAATGAATGTTGATTGAATTGATTTATTTGATTCAAACTAGAACTAAATGTCAATGATCCAGTCAAGGAGTAGTCTATAACACCACTGAATATCTTAAATTATATAATGGTGCCTTTCTCCCATAAAGGTTCCTCTACTAATCTTTCTGGCACAGAAATAAGAGCTCATGTGATGATTAATATTATCTAATAATAGAGTCCCCAATAAATTATTCTTTCACTTATTTTGATTAAAGCTGAATATATACACTTATTCATTTATGGTGCCAGTAAGAATATTTCAAATATATATACTGCTACTTTTTCTAAATTTTGAAATTTCTCCTCTATTTTCTAGAACTCCATTTCATTTTGAAATGATAGTCAGCTATTTTAGGTATAGCAAGAAATAGTCCTGGAAACTTCTTTTAAGAAATGATATTTGCCAACCAGTGGCATGATGGTTAAGCAGCTAGATACCACATGACTGACTGTGTGGTTAGAGTCCCAGACCCGGTGGCATGAAAAATACACCAGGCATGTGTGTCAGCATGCTCCAAATCCTGAAAGGAGGAGATGGAGGAGAAGGGACTGTGGCATAACCTTTCCCCATGGGGTGGGGGCGCTTTTATGCTCTTCTCCCTTTCATCTCTCTCCAACAAACACACATGGTATTTGGCAAATTAAGGAAAAGAAAAAACACAAACAAACAAACAAAAAAGAGATGATGTTTGAACAGGGTCCTTAATCAAGTGAAAGAGCAAGCTGAGTTAAAATCTGGATCTGATAAAACTTGGAAAATAATTTTGTTGGTTTCTTAATATACTTAATTACTCTCATTAATTGCAATGCTCTAACTAGCTTGCATTTGTTAATATCCTGAATAGAATCACCCTGGTCTGCTTGTCCTCTATATCTTAGTCCTGAAGTCCTATCTCCATTCTGTTTTATTATTGTACACATGTACCATCCCTGCTCTATGTAATTCCAAAAGGGCTTTCTACATCACTTTTAGCAAATTTTAAACCTCTCATGCAAAACTCATGTTCAAAGTTTTATTCTAAATATCCTATATTTTTCCTTTGTCCTTTATATTTATAAATACCTTAATTGCATGAATTATTTATGAAACTTAAAATTTTAAAGTAACTTCAAGATAAAAGGACTATTTGTAATATTTGGGGCAGAGTTTACACTATTATGAAGAATACGTTATTGCCTACAGTACATCTAAGCAAAACAGCAAAGAAAAGAAATATTAATAGATTATTTTGGAGGAGGCTTCATATATAATGGAAGTCAATATATTTTTATAAGTACTATATTCCATAATCTATTGTTGCAGGCTTATCAATGTTAACAAAAGATTTATAGATCTTGTACAAATTGTGCAACTCTCACTGAGGGTAAAAAAATGTTAGGACTTAGCATTTCATTGTTTTTAGGCATAAATTAATAGGTGAGGTTGTTTTCAAATGCTTTGTTATATTTGTACACTAGACCATACAGCTGGAAAAGAGAGTAATTTTTAACTTTTGTTTTTGTTTTTATTTTAGATTTTTACCATAGGGCACATGCACTTACCAGATAGAGACAGAGAGAAAGAGTGAGAAATCACCCCTTGGGTGGATGGCCACACCACAATCTCTTCTCTTCTCTCTTCGCAGGATTTAGAGCATGCATGCACATGTGCCCAGCCTGTTTCTTAAGCCAACATGTCCAGAATCTGCGTATCAGGGTCAGCCTCAGGGTCAGTCACTGTGGGACGCTGAGGCTGACCCATACTGCCATACTGCCTGCTAGACCCAACTTTAAAGAGTTGATACATTTATTTTTATAAATATGGCTTTTAAAAATTAAAAATAGACTTGGTCTCAATGGCACAGGTGGTAGCATATTTAACTGCAGTCTTGGAAGCCACGTAACTGATCAAGGGTTCAGATCTCTGGTTGACCTGACAATTCATTAGATATGCACCTCATAATCCTGCCAAGATGGAGGGCTGGAGAAGGGGACTGCAATGGGATGAGCTGAGTGCGAGTGTCTGTTTACATGTCTCTCTCTCTCTCATGTGCACACTCATGAATAAAAACAATGGCAAATTTGATTTTAGTTTGCTGATAGGAAAAGGTGTTTACTTTATTAACCTAACACAGTTTAGATTATGCTGGTGAACTTTTTCCCATATGGCTTTCTTCCTTGAAAACTTACAGCCATAACTGAGGTAAGAGACTCACATCAATTATTACAAAAATATATTCAGTCAACAATAGTCCACTCATTTCTTATGTGTGACTGTGCCATCTGCTGTGCATTGAGAAGTTTCACAATATTGTTACTTAATTAGCAAACCGTTTTCATTTAATGAGATTTTTTTTTTTTAACTGAGAGAAACCAACCTGGGTACATGCTGCAACAAAATGAAGTACAGAAAACTGAAAGATTTTCATATTAATTGGTCCGTATTTTTTAAGTTTTACAAAGATAATTTTCATTTTACAGACTCTAATTTTTAAATGGCTTAAAATCCAAATGTAGTAATAGTTTAGAGTATATGACTATGTCCTAAAACAAAGAATTTATATCCTATAAAAAGAAAAATAATGAATAATCTAATATATGGAAATTCAAAGCTATAAAATGATAAAAAGTTATTTAAAATTTTTAGAGTAGAAAAGAGCAGGTGTGACTATGATTTAATATCTTTTGTCAGTTATCCAAGGAGTCATTCTGAAAGGAAATGCTCAGGTCTTTCTGTTTAAAAGAGTAAAAGTTTAGGAAAAACAAGATTAATATTTAGTCAAATAGTTTAGGTACTAGGAAGAACTTCCCAATTTTGAAGGCTGCAGAATACAAGAATGAAGAAAGCTCAGGCAGGCTCCGTGAGCTAGTTGGTAAGGAAGTTGGATCCTACATGGCTATGGTTCAAATCCTTGCCCCAGAGGCTGGAAAGACACATCAGACACATATGTGTATGCCTGAAGTCCCAACAGAATGGGAAAATGGAGAAGGGATTGCAGTGTGACCATTTCTCACAATGGATATTTTCTTTCTTTCTCTCCCTCTCTCTCTCTCTCTCCTCAATCTCTCTTTCTCTATCTGGCAAATACATGGGCCCTTTGACAATTAAAAAGAAAAAAGAAGACAAAGAAGGAGAAAATGAAGTATCAGCAGCCATTAGCTTATAGAATCTCAAACCATAGGCATTTCTTTTTAAAAAAAATAATTTCTATAGGGCACTTGTGCTCACCAGAGAGGAAGATACACATATGAGGGAACTTCAAAATGCTGTGGAAAAATAGAACTAAAGTACTAGTTTATTTTGGTACCAACATTTTTGAAATCAGTGCATAATTTTTAAATAATACACATTTTCTCTGAACTTCTTGAAAACCTCATGTCATCTGCAGGAACTCTCCTATCATGAATATAAAAACAAAATTGGTTACACAAACATAAAAAGAAAGGTAGTCCTATTGTAAAACCACTAAAGATTAAAAAAAAAAAAAAGGTCTGGTTATTTTCCATCTAAGCCTCCAGATAAGCCCTTATCTGCTAACATTTTCAGCTTTGGATATGGTAAAACTGTGAAATTGAAAAGCAAGTAAGGATTATTAAAAAGAAAAATGAAAGAAAAAGTTTTTCAAAATTAGAAAGGAACTGAGCGATTTCTGGAGGCATTTACATGTCCCCAGAAATAAGGTCAACAAAAAGATCTAAACCATTATTTTTTTATTAGCCTTTTTCCATCTTAATCACAATCATTTGTGTTTCCCAAATCCACTTACAAAGTAACTGTAATGAGTCATCCTAAAATTAACAAGCATAGAGTATAAATCCAGTTCCACAGTTATTGTATCCCATTTTTATTCTTTTACCTTCTCTGTTTATTTTTTTTTATTTTAACCTGTTTTTGTTCCTTAGAGACCCCACCCTCAGTTTTATAGAGGTTTAATTGGCAAATAAAAACTGTATACATTTAGGGTATAGAACACGATTTGATATGGGTGTATGTTGTAACATAATTACCATAAACTAACATATCCATGACCTCATATGATTGTTAATGTGTGTGTGTGTGTTATTAGGATGCTTGATTTCTACTCAACAAATTTCGCATATATATGTTGGTTGTCCAAAAAGTCATGATGTATTTTTTTCTATGTTCTTCTACCCAAAAATGTGTCATGACTTT